GGAACTGTTGACCCCACCTTTGTAACCTCCCAACCAGCTTCTAGACTATAAATTTACATACTCCTAAGCATTTGCAAACATGTAGCTACAAAAAAATGCTATTCGCATGAGACTATTATAACCTGTTTTGCTTTTTAAGGCTTGCAACATGTGACAAAGACAATAACTCTTTAATAATTAGCTGATATTTGCTGATTCTTAGCAAAATAGCACAAATACTTTAAGTTTGGACTCTCCTGGTTGTTACAAAGCATTAGTCAGAAAAATATACACAGTGGTTCTGGAAATCCCTGTTAACTACTTCACCAAAATTGAAACTAAATAGGAAACTGAAAACAGATGTACACAAAATATTAGGGAAAGTTTCCTAACTAACAGAACTGGCAAGATTAGAAAAGCCTTTCAAACAGAGCACTAGGAACAAAAATTTTAGCCATTTTAAATTAATCTTCATTAGCTGATGAAGAGGATTATACAATGTGCCTACCTGAAATACAGGAAATAAAGCACTTTTCTGCAGTGTTCTAGCTCTCCAGATCTTAAGTAACCCTACAAATCCTACTGCCATGAACTTTATTTTGTCCTTTGATTACAGAGGTGGAAAGGTATAGGATGACCAATGTTCTATTCACCCTTTCCTTTGTTAAGTTATTCTCTGTTAATAAGCTGTAAAAGGAATTGCTTTCAGCTAATATATAAAGTTCTCTGCATTAATAATTTCCTTTGCACATAGTTAGCAACTCTGTCTTGCTTCTACTGAATACTTGATTCAAACCTAGGGATTTTGCATAAATTAGAGCTTTACTATTTGTTGACTTAATTAGATGTTAACTTACAGAAGCAATAAAAGCAGGAATTAACTTTCCTGGATGGGCTCATATTTTTTAAGTTTTTTATTGATATTGATAAATAAATATTTTGTATATCTGGATTAAAAAATTTATGAATGTAAATAATGTCTCCATAGGGTATAGCAAATCTAAGAAATTTGCCTGAGAGCAAATTGAGAGCTCAATAAAACCCTGAGAATTAGCCCCCACACCACTGTATGATATGCATTCTACTTGTTTACAGGCCTTAAAAAACTCACAAAATCCAATTTGCTGTTTATGAAAGAGAGCGAAAGTCCTAAGGCTGTACAAACTATTGGCACTAAAATGATTTTAATGAAAAATACTATTTCTTATAAAACAAACATTGCACACCATTATAAAACACACAGCTTCTGCTTAGCCCTGTAATTGTGCACTTTTGTTTTGCATTAAGTTTGATTTAAATAGAAAAAATGGAAGCATTTACTGTCATTAAGTTGAATTTTAATATTTAAAAGTACATATAACTTTTAAAATTAAAAATATTTTTTACCTGGTACTGGCTGTCTCTCGTTCCATTCACTTGTGATTAAAACCTCTAGGATTTTTATGTGGTGTTCTGTAGTATCAGAGCTGCAAGAGATGGATTAGGCAGTAAGAACTAGGAGAAATATAAAAGTTTACTTTAAATTATTTTAAAAAATTGAAGAATTTACTACAATGCCCTCACATCAGAAATAAGGTCAGAAAATTATTTAATTAATCTTATTTTGTATATAAGTAATTCATATTTACAGTACAAAATACGGTAAAGATGACCCACATACCTTGCTATCTGGAATTTGAAAAGTAGAGGGCTGAAAATTTCAGCCAGAGATCTTGCATTCAAAAGATTTTTACTGGAGGCTTGACAAACTCTGAGGAAATGTTTGAGCAAATACTGGAGCGTGAGCCAATACTGAGGAGGTATATTTGGAGATCTGATCAGTTTCTTCAGCAACTGAGCATATTCCTCTGAGCTCTGCACTTCTGCAAGCAAACAGATAAATGATTCTTGAAAGCAGCACAGGAATATTCAAGTAAAATGAAACTATATGTGACTCCTTTAGAAATACCAATTTTACAGCAAAAAAAAATCTGTCCTTCTTTAGAAACAAAAGATATCTTTCTTCTTTTAAAATAAGAGAAATGCTCAGGGAAGAGTAAAGAACAAGTATTTAAAAGTCAAATGGAAACAGATATGCATTTTGGTAAAAACCACAATGTGTTCAGAGTGTACTGGTAGAAGTCTGTCTTGTGTTCAGCGTCACACATGATTGGGTAATTCTGAGATGCACTAGATAAGTCTCACAGGTGCTGTTCTAACTTTGAAGGTTACCAGTAACAATATCCTGTCCTGAGATATATAACAGAATACTTGGCCCGTGTTCTGGAAGCCTATAAGCTGTACTTGTTTGAAATGACCACTGTAGATGACGAATCTCACATGCATGTATTTCTCACTTCATAATCTGCAACCCCAGTGTAACACAGCACTACATGACCTCTAATACATTTACTTTGTCAGCACTGATAAAAAGTTAAAAATTAGCTTTCTGTATACAGTTAAGTCCTTGATTTTTCCCCCTAGTTCTTCTATAGCATTTCTAGTTACTAAAATGAAGAGAACTGTGTTATCCCTTATATTTTACATTATGTTTGCTGAAACAAGTAACTGAATAATGCAGAATAATGTCTAGATCTGAACTGAAACAGCTTTCGTAGAAAAGGGTAAATTTAGATTAGAAAGAAGTATATTTGTATTCTGAGATGCTGCCAGGTTGTGTAGAATTTTTACTGTTCTGTGGGCAACAGCTGAACCAACAGATATCCAGAATTCTAATAAAAGCCTTTGTGTTTGATATTTGAAATAATTTGCAATCATACCTTGAGATACAGAAATCATGTCACTGTAAACAGCTGCTGGAATGATGGGATTCGGCAGGTCCAGGATATACCTCTTGAGAGCATCTGACAAAGTGTGAACATCGAATGTCTCTAAATCTAATGAAGAGGCATCTAAAGGGAAAGAGCAACATACTTTTTGGACTTCAAAAAGTGGAAAAAATATACAAGCTCATAACAAGACAAAATTGCTAACTTATATCTGCTTCATAGGGAGCAATTCATAAAAATGTAAGACACCAAGAAATATCCTTGAGATGAAGAACACACAGAGTTCAACACCATGCCCAGTCCCTTGGCATCTGATGAGCCAAATGGTTTCCATAACTGTGTGTAGCCTTCTGTCACATACAATTCAGGACTGAACTCAGAGTAATGGTAGCGACTTGTTGCATCTTGGCAATATTATGGAACATCAGAATATTTTTAACAGGTCTCTGTTTCATGTGTAAATATTTTGTGTAAGAAGTAAGTACTAATCAAAGGTTTGGTCAAATGCAGCTTCTCTACAGGGAGCTACTTCTATTATGACTAAAAGTTTGATTAACATCTTGGGGATCCAAGTCTGCAAATATTTATGTAAGTAAGTCGAAACAAATATACACGTGCAGAACTGTGTGCTTGGTGGTTTATGCAGCTGTTGAGATTTATCTTGTAAAACTTGATACCCTTCCAGGATAGTTATGACTTGGGATAAGGTTTGGCAGTGTCACATAAAGCACTACCTGTTAGTGTTGGAGCAAAGAATATCAACAGCAAAAATAAAAATGGGAAAGTACAGAAATCCTTGTTTAGTGAAAGCAAGGTTAGGGCTCATCGTATAACAGGAAACTCTGGCACAGTAAAGTCCTAAGTGTATACAAAAAGATCCATGTTGTGTACAAGAATTTAGAGGCATTAATGCTGATCAACCTTCTATCTAGGAAGTCTCTTGGTAAAATAACTATTGAATCTGTTTGTCTAGTTTAAAAAAAGGGAACAGGGAGGTAGAGGACTCAAATAAATGGTGTGTATACCAATACTGTGAAATAAGGTAGCCAAGAGGGGGTAGCGAGAAACTTAGTGCTCCTCCACTTCCTTTGTTCTCCCCAACAAAGAGCTTGCAGTATGAGCTCAAATCTTCTCAGACACCAAAGAATTTGCATGAGAGAAAAGGCATAATAAACGTCTTAGATTATATAAAACTTACAGTGTGGGAATAATTTCTGCAAGAGCAATTAGGTGTCAGAGAATCCACAAATTCTTAAAGAAATAGCTTTTATTACTTTTGCTGCTTACTGACTGTTTTTTTAATTCATAAGCCAAGATGCAATCATGCATCTTCAGTGTTGACCACTTCTCTGAAGTATGACCCAACTTACTATAATGAATACATGAGTAAGAATATACTTACTCTGCAACTTTCTGGGTGTAATATCACAAACAGACCTGAACTCGTCCATCTGCTGAGCTGACAAGATGTAAATCAGCTTTGATTTTGGAGCTAGATAGTATTGTGTTGATGCTAACAGACAGTTATCCATTTAAAAAATGGAGAGCATTTCAAATCACTAATGCAAGTTCACAACTTTGAGACCAAAGGTAACTTTGCTCTCTGAATTTGCATTTTGCTAATTCAAAGAGAGCAGGCAGAGGAAATGAGATCTGCCTCTATCCCTGTACCTGGATACTTACTGCACCAGCTCTGACCTGAAGATCCTAATCCTATCTTAAACAGAAGTCAGAAAGAGACACTGCTACTAAAGGGAAAAATTCTGTTTCTGTTATTCAAACCTAACTGTATTTTAAGTAGGAATACATGTAAATCATGAGTTTTTAATCTCAAGCAACAGATAAACCTATCAAAAAATTATAGCTCAATTTAGAGACTTAAGAAAGGATTCAGATAAATAAAGAGATGCAATCATATTGGTGCTACCAAAAATCTGGATTTATGTGGACTGAAACACATAAATACAACACTGAAGAGGTTGCTGCTATCATGAGGCTGCTAGCACCACATTTTCTCTCCCTGCTTGTACACATACACTTCTTCACTCCTACCACAATCAGCATAGGACAGGATGCTCTTTTGTTCTGAAAAAACAGACAACTCAAATAATCTCTTATTTTCTTTGTTAATGTTTGCAATTATTAAAAATGAGGAGACTAAATCACTGAGTGAGTTTGCTTTCTTTGTCCCTTTGGCAACAAGGCACATAACCATTTCCATTTTCTACCCCTTGTATTTTTGCACTCTTTTAGGCAAATGAAAGCTCACACCACATATTGCACCCCAGCTTGCCAAGTTGTGGTCAAACTCTCCTCCTACTCTCATTCTGAAACAGTGCTGCCATGCCAGTATATTCTGTCCTGAAGAAGAAATTAAGTAAACCAAAAAAAGAAGAGGAAATATATTTCAGGAAACTTGAACGGGTATGTGGTGTAGTTGCATTTTACTCTCTGAGAACTCAGCCTACAATATTAATTCAATTGTCTCTTTCTCTTCAGTATCATTCTGTAGCAGGTAGATAATGGGCTGCTATTGACATCCCACCTACTGGACAAAAAAAAAAATGCACCAAAGAACTGTATGTAAACAACTGGCCATTTGTTTACAAAATAATAACCTGCAGCCTTTCAGCAGTAATGTATCTTTACCTTGATTCAGAACAAAACATCTAATTTTTCTCAGTACAGCTAGACTGTCAGTCTTTGAACAAGTGAGACATCAAGAGATTAAAATATATACTCTTAGAAAAAAAAGTGCAGTTGAGCCATGAAAAGCGACAACTTGTACAAGTGAAAAATATTTTTCATATCAAGTGTAAAAGTTAGAAAACTTTTTTTATTTATATATGTCTTTTTAACAGTATATTATTAAGAACCAGCACATATGAGTGAGAGTGGTCTGACCACAAAATCTGTCTTGTGCTTTAAGGAAGAGAACTGTACTTACCACTTTCAAAAATTTGTCTTAATTCCACTGTGCTGCTTGAGCCTTGTGCTCCATACAAAGCTGAGTACTCCAGACCTTCAAAACAAAATCGATAGGATGTGTTCAGCGACTGTTGCCCTGATGCAACACATTTCTGTTTTGTTCAAGAAGTACTTACAGTATAAACTAGCAACCTTCTTTCACCTACCACACTACAGAATGTGATTTTTTTTTTTTTTTATGGCTGTAAGACACCTCTTTGTGCACTCAAGCTACTGTGTCTGCAGAAAGAGATGGCCAAAGAAGATCAGAGATGCTAGTAGTCCCACATATTCTGTAGAACTGTCCACTGGCCAACTGTAAAAGGCCAGGACTAGGAAACAGATTCAGAAATATATACATATATATATCTGTGTATATATCAGATAATGTGTCTAATAATTCACCTGAATTGTTAGAAAAGACATTAGTAAAGTGTTTTCACATGAAAGATATTGTTTACAACTTTCCCACAGCAGTGAAAATAGAGAAAACACAAGGAAAGAACCATACACAGGGATGCAGAGCACTAATGATTTAACACTATCAGTGCTTTCTCCTGAAAGCAGCAGCTTCTTACTCATACTTGTGCTAAATACTGGCCCTACACGTTGATATCAGCAAGCTTCTACTCTTTCAGGAAAGGCCTACGCTCTTCTAAAGTGCCAGAGGTGTATGTTAGAACCCATGTCCCCAAGGACAGCAGCTTGATTCTCATCAGAATACCACTTTTGCTCTTGTTTCCCAGCTTAAGGCCACCAAATGAGCAGGACTCACAGAGCTGCTCCTTACCTCACCAGCACTATGAAAGACACATCAGAGGAGGTGCCAGGAAGATAAAAATAGGGCAAAAGAAGTATGACATCGTAAAAGAAAGAGGAAAGCCTCAAAAGGATGGAGAGACATCAGCACAGGAAAGCTGGTGAGGAAAAAAAAATCATAAAAATAAAATGTCTGGCTCACTATACAGCAGCAATAAAGAATTGGCTCCTGAAGAATAAAACCAGTTCTTGAAACCTTTTCATATTTTATTATTTTCTTTTGTCCCCCAGCTTTGGGGCAAAGCATTACTTTTTTCCCTGTGTCATCAACTCAATGTTACACTTGCATTTACATAACCAACTTAAAGTGCTTACTCATTAGAAAAAAGCAAAACAATACCAAACCCTTCTCCCTTACCTTCCAATAATAGTTATATTAATTATTAAATGCCATTTGAGGTAAGCTTTGGTTTTGCTCCTATAGTCCAAATTAGCCTCTAATGAGCAAAAACCAGTGTAACAAACCTTAAGGGAGATTATTTTGGATGTTAAGTAATGTGATGCACTATCAGCTCTAGAAAGAGGACACGCCAGCTCTGGATCCAGTTCTGCAGTCTTGCAGCAATAGAACACTTTGGTAGATTATTCTTCATCTTACCTTTCTTTTCAATTGTCTCTACTATCTTGACAAGAATTGGTGGAGCAACATCAGGAGGTGTGAACTGCTCTGTAAGGTCTGGAAGTGAAAAAGCTGTAAAAAAAAAAAAAGGAAGAAAAATAAGCCAAGCTGCAGACGAATGCAGTTACTTTTATGAAAATCATATGTAATGCAACCAGTTAATTTTCAATCACAGAACAAACATCCCAGTTGTCAGGGATGTATGAGAAAACTCCATACTTAATCAAAAAATGGAATAAAAATTATGACAATTGAATTTTTTATAATATTTTCTTTCAGGAACCTCAGTCCTAGATTCACTCTCCATATTGTCTAGAAAAAGAAAACACAATAAAAAGTTTGCAATCTATGGATGTGCAGAAATACAATGCAAGTAAGGAATGAAAAAGTCTTTCCATCTGAGATATTTACACACCTTGTGCACCAAGTGAAGGAGCTATTAAACACATAACTGTCTGTGAGTGCCTGATCGCCTGGGTAAAACAGACTTAAAAAGGTCTGAAACAGCAGTAGAAACATGTATTTCACACTCACACACAAGCTCAGTAACTCCTGTGCGTTTCAATTTTCAAGCATCATACTATTAACAGTATAGTTTACTTGAAGCAAGAATTTTCTTTTCTACATGGACTAGTTAGGAATAAATAGCAGTATAATTGGAAAGGGACACTTTGCAGATTCAACCAAAACTGCACACAGGTTTTATACAAAGCCAGTTTTCATGCAATCTGGTTTCTTAATGGAGAGAACATAATCTTAAAGGTATGTTCTGGCTCTGTGAGGAAAGATCTATCTCTAAATACACAATTTTTGCCAAAAAGAATAATTCAAAAGTTTTAGAGTGATCTTGTTTAACACTTGGAAACAAAAATGTTTACATAAAGACATTAAACTACTGCCAGAACCATCTGGCATAATTTGATGGATTATGATTGATAAACAAAAATTAATCATTGAAGCCAAAATTGCCATTTTCCTAAGCAATAGTAATCTCTGCTCAATTGAACTCACCATGGACAGAGAACAATATTTGAACACACATACACAAAGGTGCCTGTATGGATATGTATAAATACATATATGCACACCCTCCGCCCCTATTTTCAGAAGACTGAAACAAAATTATGATGATAACTACGTAGAAGGAGAAAAAAAAACCCACAGAAAATTATGAACTGAGAAAGAATATATATACACTGAGAAAGAGAGAGCAGACAGTTTTGGCTGTAATTCACCCTATTTTGAATTACTTAACTTCATAAAAATGCAAACAATTTTGCTGTGGTTTAACCCCAGCCAGCAACCAAGTCCCACAGAACTGCTCAGGCACTCTCCTCTGGTGGGACAGGAGTGAGAGTCAGAAGGGTAAAAGTGAGAAAATTAGTGGACTGAGGTTTAGATAGTTTAATAGGGAAAGCAAAAGCCACATATAAGAGCAAAGCAAATCAAGGTATTAATTCAGTACTTCCCATGGTCACACAGATGTTCAGTCATCTCCAGGAGAGCAGGGTTTCATCACTGGGTAATGGTGACTTGGGAAGGCAAACACCATCACTTTGTGCATCTCTCACTTTCTTATTCTTCCCCCAGATTTACTGCTGAGCACATTGCTCTGTGGTATGGAATGTGACTGTGTCAGTTGTGGTCAGCTGTCCTGGCTGTGTCCCCTCTCAACTTCTTGTGCACTCCCTGTCTCCTCACTTATGAGGTGTGGTCTGAAGCAGAAAAGGTCTTTACACTGTATAAACCCCACTCAGCAATAATTAAAACATGCCTGTGCTATTAGCACTGTTTTCTGCATGAATCTGAAATGCAGCCCAATGATAGCTACTATTAAGAAAATTACTTCTACCCCAGTCAAAACCAGCACAAATATAAAAAACCAGTAGGACAGCAAGGAAGGGACAGAAGTTTGGAAGTATAGAGAGATGAGGAGTGAAATGAAAGACAATAGTAGTAATGGAAATGAAGCATACCGGCAAAAAGAAGGAAAATTATGGTACCATAATGATGGAAATACTTTCCTAACCCATTCATAACTGAGGGTATTAGAAAAACATTGTTAGTTGTAACAGATTAACTTAGGAGGCCTGGAAGATAACCATTCAGGAGTTTCAAAAGAGTTGCCTGTGCAGATCTCTGCCCTGCTGATGCTTTTTAATGACTTGAGGAAAATAAGAACAATTCCCACAGATCCAAAGAGCTCTAATACCTGATCCATACTCTGCAAGGACAAGTAACATGCCTACAGGCTAGTGTCATTATAAGTCCTGGACAAAAAAAAGAAAAGCCTAAAACTAGGCTCATATAATGCAACAAAAGACAGCAGACAGCACTGTAATTAAGGATCATCTGAACAGCTTTTTAGAAGACAGGTTCTTTCCTTAGTGGCACCTTTGTGAGCTGAAAAAGGCCAATGAGTAAACATAATAAACACCAAAATTCTGCCAGACAGTTGACTTAGTATAACACTTCGATTAAAAGCTAAATTCAATGCAAGCATGTTATATATGCAGAACAAGCTACTCAGGGAGCAAATGGACTTTTCAGCTCTTTGCATCTTCAAATCACTTTCACATTCCATTTGGAACATCTCTTTTATATCTGCTCATCAACACAAGATGGGCTCAAATTGAAAATGCTGCACTCTAAGTAGCCTCTGCTGAGGCACACTGAAACACAGACCAACAGATTTGTAATATTCAAATAGTTCTTTTCAACCCCAAAGTATGTATCTATCTTATGATATGGACAAATCTATTGAAATAATAAACAAAAGATTAGAGTAATATCAAAGGGTATGCTATGAAAATTCTCAGATTGTGAGATACTAATAGACTCAAGAGAATGTTAAGGGTTTAAAATGGATCCCTTACATGGTAGCTGGGGAAGAATAGGTTTTAAGAACAGAGTTTACATATTTTTACCTATGAAAGTAACTTTCTGGTCCCTGAGGGAGCTAGTTACATTTAATTCCTCCCTCTTTCATAACATCAACAAAATTGCATCATCTCTGAACAAAGATTCTCATTTCCTAATTCCAGATGGAGGCAGCATGCAGCCACAGTCAGCAGCCTAAACTGAAACAGAGGAAAGAAACAAAGAAGGATAAATAGAGACAGAGGATGGAAGTTAAAACTGACAGAGAGTTGAACCTTATCAAGTGACAGCTTGGCAGTTCAGGGATGGCACGTCTAGGCTACTGAGCAGCACAGTGCTTTCTTCCATTAACCAAATTGTGCCTTGAAATGATGGCAAGACATCAAGAAATACCTTGATATCAACAAGGTGTATTTAGAAAAATAATTCTAATTTTCACTGATGTAGATTGTCTACACAAGGGATGGAGCCCAAGGAAAGCAAAGAGGAGACCCCAGTGTCAGGGGAAGAAGCCCCTTGCAAGGTGAAGACAAGACAATACAGAAAACAGTTTGTCTCTGTAGACTTTTCCTAAATTACCTAAGCAGAGAGAGCCTCTTCCTGCAGTCTTTTTGGTGCTCCATGCTGTTCATCTCAACTTTAAGCAGAATTTTAGCTTAAAAAGGTTTGTATCATAATCTGTCATGAATACCTTTGTTGTAGAGTATTCATCAACCAGTAATATTCTTATTGAAAGCCTTTTGGAAGCTATGCATTTCCCTTTACATTAATACAAAATCTGTAATATATCTACAAAACGTGTATGCAAACAAAATGCGACATTGCTTAAAATGATGAGTTTCCAAAACTTCTCTGCTAACCTAAAATATGCATTTTAGGAGTTCAGAGGATTTCTGATGCCTCTTCCTCTCTTTATCCCATTCCTTTCCAAAACTGGAAACTTATATAACCAAAGAAACTGCTGAACTTTTAGATATGAAGTTCATATAAGACTTCAAGTGAACGACAATCCCTTGCATAAATACATAAATACTTATGTATTTGACTGAAAACTCGCGATATCAATCTCTTTTTTAAGTTCTACAGCAAAAAGACACAAACAACAGAGACACACACAATGGCAAGTCCAAAACCTGCAGTTATCAGCAACTCCAAAGTTACAGAAGAAAACATCTAAGTCACACAGTTACAATGCTCAGCAATGTAGAAGAAAAACATTCACTTCATCAGCGTGTTGAAGACAGCATGAACAAATTAAAATCATTTAACCTCCCACCTGTTCTAGGATTTCCTACTCACTGTGTCACCTTCAATATAATTAACGCATAACATCCTACTGACTTTTGCTTCAAATTTCCCAACTTTTGCACAAAAAAGAAAATTAGGTTCGTTTAAGAGTAAAAGAATTCACAAGACACATGTAGTCAGAAAAAAAAAAAAAAAAAACCAAAAAAAAACTTAACAGTACTCAAAGAACTGAAGCCACTTTATTACATTTATAGAAGACAGCCCAATTTGGGAACAGTGTGCTTCAGTTTCAAAATGCTGAGAGGAAATCTCAGCAGCTAAACGGAAGAAAACTGCACGTAATTTCTGGAAAAATATTTTTTTTTTTTTACTCCAAGAGCCAGAATAGAAGTTATGATTAAAGAAGTCCTGATTCTACATTATGTGTACCAAGAGAAAACCCAGCATGCATGTTAA